TAAACTAGTGATTCATAATGATCTTACTGATTTGATTTTGTTAGATCTAAAGCATGCGCTCATGGGACGACCAACTATTTAAACTCTACTGTGGCCAGTGAGTCATATTCACCCCAAGCATTGGTCTAGAAAGTTCTCTCATCATCACTATAGTTCTTTTCCCTAAGCATGTGTGTGCGTGTGTGTGTGTGTGTCTGTACTGTTCACTGTATAGCCCCAGTGAGGAATGTGACAAGGTGTTTAGAGGAGTGTCTAACTTACGGTAAAGGGTGTGAGGCATGGCTGCGTGGCTCCTCCCAGCGGTATAAGGGTCTATTGGAAGACAGTCAGTCATTCAGTCAGGTCCTGTTCAAATGCCACACCACTGAAAATATGAACACAATTATGAGGTTTTAAAAGCTATTTTTATACCTCTAGAGAAATGTTCAATAAGCGGAGTGTTTAAACGGTGACCTGAATTTCAGTTAATATCATTACACATCCTAGTTAATATAGCTTTTGCAAATGTCACATCAAATTAACTCCACACTGAAAATAGATATCCTTTTAATGAACAATAATGCAAATGTGATTTTAAGTGGGTTGTTAAAAAAATTCAAAAAGCAAAAAAAAAAAAAAAGCAATTTTTTTTTAACAATTTACAGTTAATGCAGAATAAAATAAATAAAAATAAAGCAAAATAAAATAAAACAAATAAAAAGAAAATACTCGTTCCATGTGCATGCCCATAACAATGGTGCATGTTATTTTGTGACAAATTTGTGCAATTATGGGATACAGCATTTCTAAACAACAACTAAATAAATAACATAAGCAACAATAATATTTTTTTTATGATCTTATGATTACTCTGAGTTGTAGTGCTTTGGGTTTGAAATAAAAACATATAAATAGAATCAAATTAAATATAAAAATTAAATTAAATAAAAAAAATAAATAGTGGAGCCATCATTATTTGTCCTTTACATGATGCCCATAACAATGGTACATATGAATTAGTGCTACGAATTATGGGAATTCTTGTCTGGGATGATAATGAATAATTGAGATAAAATGAGGGTGTGATTTATTTTGGTGGGGGTGTGTGTGTCTCATACCTACAGATCCAGGTGGTGATGAAAGTGATCTGCAACTGCACCCCACCCGCAAACCCCTCTGCATAGGTAAACTGTTACCTCATCAGGGCACCTGGAACACACACACACACACACACACACACACACACACACACACACATTTGTTTTGCTTAAGGAAGACACTGCACAGACTTCCACTGATTTTATATCAGGTTAATGATATTTTCTATCACCTAACCCAACCCCTACCCCTAAATTTACCCATCACAGAAACATTTGCAGAACACTAGATGTAAATAAAAACATATTTTGGCTGATTTATTTATTTTTTAACTATAGAGTGAGGACATTTGGTCCTCACAAGTCTTTTATCACTTCCATTCCATTGTATTGTAGAAACTTTCATTTTCTGTGAAACTGCTTTGCGACAATGTGTATCATGAAAAGTGCTATACAAATAAACATGAATTGAATTGAATAATAGTCAAAACAAGTACACTCTACACTCTAAAAAATGCTGGGTTAAATATAACTGGGTTTGTCCCTTTTTAACCCAGCGCTGGGTTATATTTAACCCAGCATTTTTTAGAGTGTATAAGGTTTTTTATAATGCATTATGCATTCATTATAATGCCTTAAGAATACTGTATTATAAATACGGGCTTCATAGAAAGTGTTACCAAAGGTTCTTTAGGAAACCCAAAATGGATCTTTTATGCCATCACTGTTAAAAACCTTAATGGACACAGTGTTATACATTAGAAGTAAAATATGTCCTCAAAAAGATAAAAAAATGCCCTTAAAAATCAATTCCTGGGACAAATATAGACAGCACATTTCTGACATGAGAATACGTGCGTATATGCATCCGTAACATCTCGGAGCTGCATGATTCTGCTGCCTGCAGCTGCGTTGGGCTGTTTTCTATTTTATGAATGGATGCTGGGAGGGGCCATGATGTCAATACTCTCAGTGAGAACCTCCCCCCCACCTCCAGATGCGGGAAAAGCCTTCATAACCGTCTCCCTCCTCCACGTATCCCACGCATCCGTCCGCATGCGCTCACCGCCCCTCTTCCTCCAACCACACCTGTTCTCCTATCAGAGGAACCAGCTTCAGCCAGTCTGCTAAGGGGCTTGCTGACGCCAGAAGACCCCCCTTTCTTTTCTCTCTCTCTCTCGTACTCCTTTTTCGCCACTAAAAGAGTGGCATGAATAATCCATGCCAGATAAAGAACTGCAGCAGAGAGGGACGTGATCACAAGCCTCGCTCGTGCACATACGCACACCCTCGAACACACACACACACACACACACACACACACACACACACACACACACATTTGTTTTGCTTAAGGAAGACACTGCACAGACTTCCACTGATTTTATATCAGGTTAATGATATTTTCTATCACCTAACCCAACCCCTACCCCTAAATTTACCCATCACAGAAACATTTGCAGAACACTAGATGTAAATAAAAACATATTTTGGCTGATTTATTTATTTTTTAACTATAGAGTGAGGACATTTGGTCCTCACAAGTCTTTTATCACTTCCATTCCATTGTATTGTAGAAACTTTCATTTTCTGTGAAACTGCTTTGCGACAATGTGTATCATGAAAAGTGCTATACAAATAAACATGAATTGAATTGAATAATAGTCAAAACAAGTACACTCACACACACATTGTTTTTATGGTTTATGGGGACTCTCCATAGGCGTAATGTTTTTTTCCTAACCCTAGCCCTAACCCTAACCCAACCCGTATTTTCTATTGCCCTACACCAACCCTACCCCTAAACCTACCCCTCACAGGAAACTTTCTGCATTTTTAGATTTTCAAAAAAACTCATTCTGAATTATTTATAAGCCTTTTGAATTACGGGGACACTGAAAATGTCCTCATAAATCACCTTCTCGTTGTAATACCTATGTCATACCCATGTTATTATACAAATTTGTGTCCTCATAAACCACATAAACATGCACACACCCACACACACACTCTCAAATGGGCTTATGCACCCACAAGTATCACAGTGTGCATACACACGAGCACATTCAGACAGAAAAAAACCCATAAATAATGCTGCAGTCACAGTGAGCAATTGATTAGTAGAAATAACACACTAATTCTCACTAAATATCAGCAGAGGCACTTCATCAGTCTGCATGAGTACAGAAGATCACTTTTAGATCTGTGATGAATCATGTTCATGATGAATCAAGTTCTGCTGTTGTATACACAGTGAGTGATATTTTCCCCATCTAGCTTCAGCTCACAGACTAATGTTAGGTTTACCACAGCCCTGACAAGTGCATTCAGTAAAAGAAAGTATCGGAGGAAAAAGTCTAACTTCAATGTCAAATCCAAACAAATAAAATTCTCATCCTCAAAAAGATTTATAAAATGTAATACCTGTATATAGAAATATATATCATACAAAGAGCATTTGTTTAAAAAGACTGATTACACAAAGAGACTGTGAAGCATGAAAGTAGCCTGCTTCCACTGCCAGTACCTTAGTTGTGATAAAAAGAAACATTTTGACCATGATGTTGTCCCTTTTTAAAATGTGACAGCTCCTGTATACAAACAAACATTTGACTGATGAATGTATTCGTTTCGACCAACGGCAGATGGTCTATCTCGCCTCGCCTCAGCTCCTTCACATGTTCTGACCTGATGCAACAGCCAGATTGGAGGCACCTGGAACAGGTTCAGCTTCACTCATCCATGAGCATGAAAGGCAGAATGCTTCACTTGTCAGTATGGTATGTCTATGTGGACTCTTCTCAAACCCTGGCACAATATATTCATCTGATCCCAGAGTCTTTCTCCACCCACGAGCAGGGGGTCATTTAAGTCAGTAACAGTTTAGACTCAAAGCTGTTTTTATGTACTATTGCAGTAGGCCAGCATTATTCATGTCATATTGAAAGGTCTTGAGAAAATGTCAGGTTGGCAAATCTATGAACAGTCACCACATCATACGAGCTTTTATGGATTAAAGATACTTTAAGATGGGACAGTGGAAATCAACAACAATAATAATAATAAAAATAACCCTTATGTGCTGTTGTGCTTATGTGCTGAAATTAAAAAAAAAGTTCCCTTCATCTAAATGGCACGAGACATCACTTGATGGATCTGGTTGTGTGTGTTAGTGTTAAAAACAAAACAAAACTAAGGCACAATCAGGTTGTTTGGGGTCTCTGGAGTGAATGGGATAATTATGATATCAATACTTTTTCTTTTTAAATTTGTCACACACACACACACACACACACACACACACACACACACACACACACACACACACGCACAGGTGTACACCCTAAATGAATAGTGCATAAGGGTTATTCTATCTATCTATCTATCTATCTATCTATCTATCTATCTATCTATCGATCTATCTATCTCGTTCTATCAGTCCATCCATCCATGCATCCATCCATGCATCCATCCAACTACCTACCCATCTCCTCACAAGCATCTTTTTCCTCAGAAATGTTTCTAAAATGATCCTTACAGTCTAATGCTATATACTTAGCACATCCGTGGGCATTCTCACTTTTTGTTTTTATAGAAAAACAGATGGTTGGGCTTTCAGGAAAGTGGGACAGGCCATATATAGACAGCAGCAGTAAATCATCAACAACACGCTGCTGAAGCGCTATAGAGAATCTCACAGTTTGAAATAGAGTTTATAAATAACCGCGATACTGCCAATAGAGCCATATAGGAGAGAAGAAACAGTTTTCAACACCCTCAGAGCTGACTGAAAACAGTATGCTAGATCACAGAAACCACTCTAACCACTCACACATGGCATAGCATCAAGTATAAACTGTAAAACAAATTGCACAGAACATGAACCATAAGATTTAGGAAGCAGAGACTCAGCTGCAATGGGAATCTTTTTTTATTTCATATAATTCACAAGGCAGCGACCCCCAGCAGGCCATGAAGAACAAATACCAAATATTCACATTCAAGAACATGTCAAGAAAACAAATTACAACACAACACATGATACAGAAATTCTCTTTTAAGGGGCAACTGATTTTAAAATGATTTTAATAAGATGCTGGATATACAGAAGCTAACAAAAGATGTTTATTACTTTAAAAATGCTGTGTTATTATCTTTTGTAATAGTATTATCTAATGTTTTGTTTGTTTCTTTGTATTTATTTGTGTGGAATCGAGAGAGGAGACCAGTCTGAGGAGGCATGTTGGGTGACCAATAACATTGGTTCCATACTTCTGCTACAATACTCAAAGACTAATGTTACACGCTATGCCCACTTCCTACAGCTGTTTCAAACCCAGCTCACCATATTTAGTCTAAACGTACATTTTGAATTTCTGCAAATGCATTTGCAAGAGCAGCTTTTCTGCAAGGCCTAGCACGTAAGAAGGAGGTGATGCTTCTCATCAGTTTAAACTACAGGACTCGTTCAGTTTCTAAGCCAAACTATATATGGAAATTCACAATAAACATTACAAATGAACCCTAAGGCAACAAACACTCATTGAAATTGCTTTCCCATTCTATTAATAGAGCTAAAGGGGTGAATCACAGTAAAACATGTACAGGTCATATCTTACCCTTTTTGTTGTTGTTGTTGCTTTGAAATTATAATTTGCATAGGAAGGAAGAATCCCTATTTCTGTACCATTAAGATTATTTGCATTGTGACATTGTTTTTATGACAATTAAGTACATTTTTCCTCCAAATTCTCATGATTGCAGTGCATCCAGAATTTTTTATCATTATTATTCTCACAAGATTCTCATAAGACTCTACTGTATAAATACTTCAAAAATACATTTTGAAGTAATGTTCGCAACCCATTATACTTTTGTATTGCATTTACTGCACAAGTAAAAAAATCTATGTAGCAATGCAAAAATTCATAGTGGTTGCTTGCATAATGAACACTTCATTTTCTTTCTGCAAAATATAATACGCTATTTTTCCTCTTGGCTTTGTGGTGAAATAATGACCCCGACAGGCTTTGTGAGATTCACCCAAAGAGAGACTTTAGAAATGTTCTTAAGGGCCAAGAAAAATCAGCTAGAAAAGAATTAGATGATAAGATCTAATCAAACATAGCATGGTGTATGTGAACCATAACCATTTCAAATAGTTCGCATAACAAATAGAGAGGACAGGGATTGGTCATCATGTCAAAAAAGATAATATCTTTAAGAACTTTGACTTTAAGACAAAGTTCTTTACAGAAAACATGGCTTGGAATCTTCTTAGTACATATACTGGATTTATAGTATTTACATACGATACACGAGTCCTCCATATAGACTCCACTGTTAAAGGCCAGGATGTCACCTAGATCCACCTGCATTAACGTCATGCACAATTTATCAGGCCCTTCACATCCCTGTTACCTTCATAGAATGTCAGTCATTATTACGATATGTAGTTAAAGGGGTATTTACCTCTTGTCATAGACAGACTGAACATCACTTCCTGCATTCTTAGTGTGTGTATTAGAGCATAAGCTTGTGTGTACCTCCTAAATAAACCACCGACACAGGTAGCAGAACAATCAGGATGTCAAATCCCCCGTTACACATCTGTTATCTGCCCATCAGCCTCTGAAAATCAAAAATAAGTGGCTTCCACATGTACACTGCTGTATATCATGCCAGGAAAGGACCATGTAAACGCTGTGTCTGAACACAATGTCCTTATCAGTATACAGATTTTCTGCTGATGGGACATCTCAATATGTGGAGGCAGGTTTAGAAACCTGAGTGCATTCAGGCAAGACCCAAATCCTGATGATGCTTTTGGATGCATCTGCATTAGCCAGCACTTTATCTGCGGGTGGGTTCAGAGAAAGTGTAAGGGCACAAACCCGATCTTCAACCTCAGTGTGCTCATGCTTTGTGATCTTTAAATCTTTAGTATGGTTCTTCGGAGATGATTACACATCTCTGATCAGACTCCACATTCACAGACAAACAAATAAACACACACAGGCATATTTTTTCCTTAGATTGAGGCACAAAGTTCAGAGGCATCAACCCGAATGTCAATCTAACACCGGTCATCCTCATCAGTGTCACTGAGAAGCTCACAGCCTGACGTCCCTGATGTGGCTTGTGCTAGTCGTTTACGGAAATGCCCGTTAGGCACCTGCCAGTTATGACGTAGTTGTGGAGCAGAGCTGATGGTGTTGGAACATCCCAGGCTGGTTGCCATGGCAGCCTCAAAAGTGAGAGTCTCCTCTACACCACTTGAGTCTGGACCGTTAACGTCCTCCTGCAGTGACAGGTATGGCTCTGAGATGTAGCGGTGAGGGGTAGAGTGGGCCATAGCGGTGCCTTGCCCGGTCCCGGTTGGACCCTCCCCTTCCTCTGTGGGCAGTACCAGTGACTGTACCTCTCCTTGTGTCGGATGGGCACGGCACACTAACGGAGAGTAGGAGATGTGGGGCCGAGGCCGAGAAGGTGTCTGTGGGAGTTGGCGGCGCCCTCGAGGCGTCCCTGAATCAGAAGTGGAGGGAATTGGGCTGCATGAACTATTTCCCTATAGGGATGAGAAGAGATGGGGCAAATGATTGTGGGTTAATAAAGAGAGAGAGAGAGAGAGCGAGAACGAGGGAAGAAATAAATGCTTAATTAGATGGTATGTACACTTCAATGTACATTAACTTTCAAAAGTTAGGTGCCTAAGTTTTCGAAAGAAGTCTCTTATGCTCACCAAGGCTACATTTGTTTGATCACAAATATAGCAAAAACAGTAATATTCTGAAATATTATTACAATTTAAAATAATTGTTTTCTATTTGAATATATTTACAAATGCAATTTATTTCTTTGATGGCAAAGTTGAATTTTCAGCAGCCATTTCTCCAGTCTTCAGTGTCACATGATCCTTCTGAAATCATTTTAATATGCTGATGTGGTGCTCAAAGAACATGTCTTATTATAATCAATGTTAAAAAAAAGTTGTACTGCTTAATATCTTTTTCTGGAAAGCATGATGCATTTCAGGATTCAGGATTATTTTATAGAAAGTTTAAAAGAACTGCGTTTATTTGAAATTTGCAACATTGTAACATGTTTTTACTGTCACAATTTCATTCTAACACTAAAATAACCAGAGCCCGACCGATATGGGTTTTTTGGGGCCGATACTGATACCGATATTAGGGAGTAAAAAAAGGCAGATATCGATATATCTGCCAATATTCTTTGTGTATATTATAGTACAGTACCAGTCAAAAGTTTGGACACTTTCCCATTCGTGTGTCCAAACATTTGACTGGTACTATATATAGAATACAGTATATACATAAACAGAATATATATACATAAACACATTTTTTGCAATGATCACTCAAATGTGGTGATCAAACACTTACTGTATAATGGTGACAGAGATATGTAAGGGCATTTAACAAATTAACAATAAACTTGCGATGAGTGCGATGCACAAAGTAACGGGGTGTTAGTTGTAACACACGTGGTTTGAATGTTTATTTTACCATAGTAACATTTAAATTCTGGCTTAAGTAATTTTTTTATCTCAGTTTTTATTATTCATTTAAAATGAGACAAATCTGCTATTATTTTAATCTCCAATCTGTTATTTATCAGTTCAGATAGTTTTTTAATGCTTTGATTACTAGCAGAAGACACTAACCAGTTTTAAATTCCAGTTGCGCAGATGGGGCACGTTGTAACACTGCGTTACAATGTGCTATTCTATGACATTAGCGATGTAATTTACACTATTTACTTCAATTAATTTGAATGAGGAACAACGAGAAACAGGTGAATAAAGACTGACAGTCAATGTTTAATGTTTAGAAATTATTATTTCAAGACATGTAAAGCATTTTTGCTCGTTTATGTGGGCCGTCCCAAGCATGGTTGCAATGTGTTCATTGTCAAACTCCAAAATCAGATTATTTTTAATTCTTAAAAAACGGCATTATTTTATTTGAACAAAAAAAAATAAATAAAAAATAAAATAAAATTAAAAATATATATATATATTTATTAACAAAATATTTTAGTTTGTCTTGTATATTTTTTTCATTCAATCAGATAAGATTTTAAGCTGTCATATGGTCAAGTTACAACGTGCCCCTCAGATGTTACAATGTGTTCCACCTACGGGGCATGTTGTCACATTTCACTTCCATTTTTTGAGGGTAAATAAAGAAAAACGTATACACTGTAATTATGAAACAAAGCGACATATTTGTACTAGACAAGTGTAAAATTAGCGTGGATAAAAAAATAAATAAAATTCTGAACCCCATGTGGATTTATGGAAAGTGTTGACTGGTGTCACTATCTCGTGAACGCGGCGGCGGATCTCCACCAAATTCGGTGGATCCCTTCAGCTCGAGGAGCCCTCTCGAACGCCACCCTCCGCACGTCGGTAGCCCCCCGGGATCGCTAGATTGGTCGGCGCCAGACCGCAAATTTAGCCACCCGTAACTCCCGAACCCCGGGGGCTAACCACGCGGGGTAGTCTCATTCGAAAGAGGGCCTCGAGACGTACACTTGATTCATGTTCAAGAGGGTTCCTTGAGCTGAAGAGATCCCCCGAATCTCCGCCGTTACGGAGATATGGCTGTTCAAAGTTTCAATGGTTTTCCATTGACTTAAGCTTTAAAGCGTTTCATCCAGGTCGCCAGCAAACAATGGAGCGTGCTCTGCTGGACAAGCTAAGTAATTACACCATTTCAAGCATTTTATCTGCATTATATGTTCTGTAAAAAAAAATTTCATATCGACGGCATATTCGCCGATACCGATATATCGGCCGATAACATCGGCAAAACGATATATCGGTCGGGCTCTAAAAATAACACTAAATGTTCTGCCAGGTCAGAGGTTGTGCACATGTGTTTGTGTCCTCACCTGTCCGAGGGTCGTGTGTTTCCTGCCCTCACTGGGCGATCGAGAGTGGCGTCTCTCCTGGGACTGACTCCTTTCCTCTGAGTTGCAGCGAGACACGTCTGGAGACAGCAGGTGTCTTCGCTCTTTAGACCGTCCTCTCTCTTTGTCCACTGGCTCCCGCAGGTTTGACCTGACAGCTGCACATGCACAAACATAAGCACATGTTAAGACAAGTGCAGACAAAACACACACACATAAATGTGGCCATAGCCTGGGCATCTTCACAAAGCACATAAACATGTATAAATCCGATATCAATCCTGGTCCTGGGGTCCCACCACGCTGCCCATTTTGTATGTCTCTCTTATCTGATACACTCAATTTATGGAGCACCCACTTGATGAGCTGATGATCTGAATCAAGTGTGTTAAATAAGGGAGAGACCCCCAGGACCAGGATTGAAAGCCACTGCTGTAGACTTGTATTGTTATGTTTTTCGATTTTAGTATTGACTTGGTACCAAAAAACCTGTGCTTTTGACGTCCCTACTGCAAACTGACCTCTAAAGCTTCTTTGCCTGGGTCTTTCCAGTCGGTCTGGGCTCACCCTCTCCAGAGAGAACTCTTCCTGCCAGTCACCATTCACACACTGATCACCGATCGTGGAGAATGAGCGCTTCATCAGTTTACTCTCTGAAGACACCTGCTATACATGCACAAAACACAAAAACAAACAAACAAAAGAGAACAAACAAAACACGCACACAAACCCCAAGAGCACACATCAACAAACAGAACACAAAAACAGAGACAAAAATGAAACAAATTCATGTTATGCTGTAAGATTGACACTCTCTCTTTGAAACCGTACATAGTGACATTGCACTAAACAATGCAAATGAAATGAGTTTCTATATAAAAACTTTTTTCTGAACTGAGCTCTAACAAAGGCAACCACAACATCCTAACATTCCCTGCTGGAAAAAAAACTGGTTGGTCAAGCTGGTCAAGATGGTGTGTTTCTGGTAGCTGGTTACACATATGGGCTCTACAAAATTAAATAAGGTGATCCACCAGTTCTAATCAGGTTGACCTTGGGCACACCAGTTAATAAACCATCTAAAACATTTTACCCCAATTAAAGAATATATATTAATAATTATTTTATACACTAATATTATATCAATATTTAGATTACTTTTATATTTATATAAATAATAAAACTATTTTTAAATAATCATATATATATTTATACAACTAGAATATTGCCATAATTCATATTTTAAACACTGTGATTCCATACTACTATTTTCAGAGATATCGCTACATAAACATGTTACCAAACCAAATCAGAAGCTGGTTTTAGTTTGATTTTCCAGCAGGGTTAGACATTACATTCACACCAAATCACGAACTACACCTTTCTACCCCCTGTTTCCATTCCCTCTTTGGAATCAACGCCAACGCTGATGCTAACCACAGAGCAGATTTAGACAGAGCATCTAGTTTTTGCTAGGCTAGGCTAACACAGGTAGTACCTGTGGCTCTACCGCCAGGCGAGGCATGGAAGAGGCTCGGATAGAGACACCTCTCCCTGGCACTTGCAGAGGATCAGCCTCCATGCTAGTGGGGCACAGCACACTGCTAAAGTCTTTGTGCTCTGGCATCTACGCAGTTAGAAAGAGAAAAAACGGGGAGGAGGGAGACACATTCAGTCCTTACTTTAAAAAATAACACTTAGCAGCTGTAAAATCCCATTCACACCAAGAGCGATAACAATAACTATAAGGATAACTATATTTGCGTCCACACCAGCAAACGATAACGGTCTGTTTATTCTAAGCTTGCACGCTCCAGTTTCCAGTTTTAAGTAACGTATTTGGATGTAAGTGACCTGCAGCTGCATTATGTTTTGCAAAGACACCAAAGGAGAAACATATACCATACATGATATAAAGACGAGAGGATTTAGTGAATCCGTCACTCTGCTAAGAGAGTTTCGCTTTTGAAGACAAATTTTATTCATACTTTCGTATAAGTCAGAATCAGTTTGTGCTGTTGCATTTACAGGGCTTTAACCAGCAGATGTCTTCAGCATGCCTTGTTTTGAGCATATGTAAACAAGCTAGCTAGTGTAATCTATCTGATTTTGGCTAACAGTCAATGTTGTCGAAACTAGTGCTGGATACCTGAGATCATTTTAAGTTTTCATGTTACTCTGTTTGTTGTGTAGAGCTTCTCCGCAAGGTCTTCTGCTATTTTAAATGTGCAAGCTCTTTAAATTCGAATGAAGACTGATCAGCTGCCAGTGTTTTATCATTTATCAGCTATAAAATATCGTTCTGAAAGTGATCCCAACAATATTGTTTTTCTATATCGTTATGATTATAGTTGTGGTGTGAACTCTGCTATTCTCCTGAATTTAGAATGATTTTTAGAACTTTATAGTTATAGTTATCATTGTCGTTCTTGGTGTGAACGGGCCTTCAATATCATCGCACCAAGTGTGTCATTGTTAGGAGTGGACACAGAATAGAAATGCAAGGTTATGTACTAAAGTCAAAATAACCTGGCGAATGTTATACTGCTTTTTTAGGAGCAAGTATTTATTTAAAGTTAGGAAAAGATGCGTTAATATTCAAAAATGTCATAGAGGAAAAGTAAAGTGGCAAGAGTGAAGCACCATAAGCACAACATAGAGCCAATATGCATAAGCAACTCAAAGGGGGTGTAGAAAGTTTCAAAACAGAAGCCAAACATATTGGGCATACACACAAGGGCTCTAGCACAAAAGAGTTTCAAACATAAACCAACTTAAAAACCCTTAAGACATCTAGAGTTATATCACAGTTCATGGCGGAGAGGCAAAGAAAAAGCTACCAAGAGGGGTAGAAAATAAGAGTACAGACAAGAGCACAGAAAGACATATAAGCTTGTGTATAACTGCTCACTGGTTATATAAGTGCTGGAAGTTATCTGGACCTAGCAGTCTAACCTTGAGAAACCACATCAATAAACCATTCCAAACCTTAAAAAACAGCTCTCTAAATCTCTCCCTTTACAAGGCCAGAAGGCAAATGATAAAGGGATGGCAATAAAGCTGCAAATGTGAAAAGAAAATGAATCAGGAAAAGTAGAAGCATCATGCAGGATTGTGAATCAGGGAGGTGATGTCCATGCAGATGACATCTGCAAAGATTTGACATCAATCCAATAAGATGGCATGTTTGCGAGTGCCTCTATGGAAGCCCATTTCCACAACATAAAAAAAAAATCATACTAATAATAAATAATAACCTCATAATTTTGATTTACCTAAGCATGAATTTTCTTTTTCTCATGTGGTGGAAAAGGGCTTCTGTATTCCTCAGAGTGACAATCAAGTCATTTACATATAGTGTGAATAGAAGTTAAAATGTGGACCGTTTTAATTACATCTGTCACTTCTCAAAATATTAAGCAAAAAAACATATGCTGTGTACGCATGTAAACTTTCTAACAGTTTTTAAAAATGAACCTACTCACCCTTTGTTAAAAATGCTATTGTGGTATGGTATGAAGTTTTGAAACATCTTGGAGAGATTCCACAATTATCACAAATTACCCCTATTTGGGGTAGCAATAACTGTACACCTGGGACACGCAATGCTGGATTTAAAATTTGGGCATTAAAAGGTTTGAGTAAGGTGGGAGATTTATTTAGTAATGAAACTATACTCAGTTTTCAGGATTTAAGGTAAAAGTTTGATTTACCTATAACACTTTTTTTTATTTAACTATCTTCAAATTAGGAATTTTATTAACAAGGCACAGCATCATTCTCCTCTCTTATCGGATCTGTCTCCTTTAGAAAAAATTACTTTAAGGCACCTTAAATGGGGGTAGGCAAATGTCTTTATTTTATAAACAAATCTCGACTAACTGCAGGGAAAATAAACGTCAGGCATGGTGTCAAGATATAAATGGGAATATAACAGAAGATAAATGGCAGAGTATCTGTCTAATGGCTTAAACACAGACAATTAATACGAGGTTCAAACTTCTGCAATATAAGTGGATTATGAGAGTATACATAACTCCGGAATTACTACACAAATGTAATCCCAACATTCCCGATCAATGTATAAAATGTAATCTAGAGACAGGAACTTTATATCATTGTTTATGGAAATGTCCCCAAGTTCAACTTCTTTTGGGAAAAAGTTTTAGACTTTTTATCTCTGGTGTTGAAACAAAATGTTCCCAAATGTCCTAAACTCTGTATACTAAATGTTTTCCCTGTAAATTGCACTTTAACTAGCTCTGATAAGAAATTGTTGATATTCTGTTTATTACAAGCAAATCTTGCAGTAACTCATCATTGGAAAGACATAGAAAGCCCTCATTTTAAACAATGGTTACAAGAATTGTCTCATTGCTTGGCTCTGGAAAAGCTCACATATATTGTTAAGGGAAAGCGTGGAAAGTTTTTCAAAGTATGGAATCCCTTTATATGATTTATTAAAGAAGCTGATCCAAATTAATTTTTTTGTGTAACTTGGCTTAACATGCATCACCTCAGGATATTAATGTACCATTGTTTTATGGGTATTGTATGTATATGTATATGTACATATATATATATATTTTTTTTTATTTTTTATTTTTTTTATTTTATGTTTAATGTTAAATGTTTCAAAAATTAATAAAGAAAAGAACCTACTCACTTGACAAACCATTACCAGAAATCTTTAGATGATGATTTAGATATCAAAAGTTGGAGTTTTGTGATCTATATGTTAAAATAAAAATTTAGCACATAACTGACAACGGACAGTTGAATTAATAATTAAACTGTCCAAGAGTCAGTTATTCCGCTTATACCAATGTCTTTTTTTGCAATTTCCTTTCTGTTCTGTACAGAATGTACAGAATAGACTGCATAGACAAAAACACGAACTACGAAACCAGGCCAGATTGAAATTTTAGTCACCTACATATGCACACATACGCTACCCACAGTCTCTGATGTGTCCTAATTTTAATTTTACTTTCATTTGTGTAGGACTACTTTTTTAGTTTGTTGTATAAACTAAGCTACCAAATTGACCAAAATTCACAAGGATAAAACTTTTGTTTTACTGACCAGGCACTGCCAATTACAGTCATATCTCAAATTTGTGTCATATCTCAAATTAGACTCTGAAAAATGTGTTCCACTTTTCTATTCCTACTTTTACAAATGGATCAGTGTCTTGTTGTGTGGTATTTAGACCGTGTCACCGTTTGTATCAGTTTTCCAACCTGAATTATTCATAAATTATTAAACACTGAGAATGAGCCTGAATTCACATACAGTTTGAGAATTTTAAATAGATTGCGAATTTGAATGTTGTTTCACAAAACATAAAGTAGCTGTCAGGTATTTCATGCACATATGTAAAATAATGAATAAAACATGTCATGCAAGACATGTCAAGGCATACTCTGTCAGTATGTCTGAGATGAGATGTATTTCTTTGTGTATTTAGTTTCTCCTACCATACTCTGAAGGTGATACTGGTGTTGGTATTCATCCCTCTCTTCCATGCTGTCTTGGGCCAAGGGCTGCATGAAGAGGTCTTGGGGTGATATGGGACTCAGTGCTACAAACCCACCTCTACTCCTGAGGAAACAACAGAGAAACTTGTCAAATATGCTCATGTTGGCTTGCACCACAAATGCATCTATAAATAGGGTACATTTTGTACACCACAAACTGTGGGTCACATCTAAACATTGTTTTTGGTGATCAGAAATAAGATATTTAGTACAATTAATTTCAAAAGTTTGTGACGCTGTTGGATATCATCAAAAAGATCAAGACCTCAAGCTGACCCAAGCTGGGACAGGCCAAAATCACCATTTTAAGAAGGGGGATATAAACATTTAATGCATATATAAAAATATATTTTTTCATTATATATAACCTATAGGTAAATTGTATATTTTGTAAAAGTTTATATAAAACTTTATTCTTGATCACAAAAATTGTGATAAAGAATTGTGCCTCTATGCTTTAAAGTATTGCACCAGTATTGTGTATATCCAGAAGAAACGAAAGAACTAATGGGGAGAGGTCCAGATCAGGGTTATTATTTACCCTAACCCTATAAACTAAAACATTTTCACTACTTAAAATAAACATTAAATGAAAATCAGGGGCGTCACACACTCATAATTTTTGAGGGGGCACGAGTGGGGGGGTGGGGGGGGATTTATCGTCATGTGACACACAGCAGCCACAATAGCACTCATGTTTTATTTATTTTTTTGACTATGTCATGATTATTCATGACTGTATCATGAAATATCTCGATTCTCACCTTTATAGATTATGTTAGTTGATCTATAGTGGGCGATAGTCAAAGTAGCCTAATAATGTAGTCTATTAACTATACATAAAAACCTGTCTGTTTACTTAAGCAACAGATAGGGGTGTCATGCCATAACATATTTTTAATACGACTGACTTTATATTTAATGTGAATTTAACATTGAAAGTTAATGTGAATAAAAACATTGTAAGTTAGGCTACTTATCATAACACTTTAATTGTACAGAAAGAGCGCAAAGAACATTTACATTATCAAAGAACATTTTCACTGACAGTCTAGAGTTCAAGCACTCTCAAAAACTCCCATTAAAATCACTGAAGCTGTTTACACTGTGAAATGAATATCTTACTTACAGATTCATACACACATCTGCAGTTTGTTTCTAATGATACGCGAATTCGCCAGAAAGAGCTATTCAGTCAGCGAGCGAGTGAAGAAAACACAGGCATTTTAGTGATGACTCATCTGAACGCTTCTGATTGGTCATTGCATTCATAAGCTCAACAGCAT